GAAAAAATTTACTCAATTGACAAAAACATAGAACATATCGAACACCAATTACACCTTTTAAAAAATTCAAGAAAAATAGTACTTTATGGGCTTCCTGAAGCGCACCACGAAACGGAACACGCCCTTATAGACCGCATCTCTAGAGCCTTTCATGATATAATGAATGTTAACATTGATCCATACATAGAAGAGATAAGGCGTATTGGAAAGCGAGGAGGCCATAGACCCTTAGCTATAGAATTAACAAATAAGAGAATAACAAGATACGTGATGGAAAACTCTAACTGTTTTCGGAACTCAGGACTGGCTGTTGAGATGTTCATGGATAGAAAAACATTAATGAATCGCAACGAACTCCGGGAAAACCTGAGAATAGCTAGACAAAATGGTAACCATGCTATAATTAAAAATAACAAACTGTATATAAATGGTAAAGAGTACAAAAAAGTTCCCCACAAACCACAGAAACGTCTCAGTCCCAGATACCAAATACCGAAAACAATAACTGTAGAACGAGTTTAGATAGCAACAACACTACAACCAACAAAATACAAACACCATCGCAGCCACAGCCAGCAGCGCCAATGTCAACACAAGGGAAAACCACTCGTAACTATATTTTCGATACTGAACTAAATGTTATCTTTCAGAATATACAAAGTATAGGCAATAAACTTCATCTAGTCGAGCAGTTCCTACAAGACTTAAACATAGATATATTGCTATTGTCAGAAGTATGGAAAAATAAGAACTATTGTGATATGATTTCGTTGTCTGGATACAGAATGGCTTCCACCTTTTGTCGTAAATCGCATGAAGGGGGAGGTGTTTATGCAATTATTAAGGATAGTTTAGAATATCTTGAGTGTCAAGATATAAACAATTATACTATAGAATTTATAATAGAGTTTAGTGCCGTAGAAATACCGAAATTAAATTTTATTTTCATTGGTTTATACAGAGCAGACCGACACATTAATACATTTTTTGAACAGCTAGAGAAAGTGTTACATAAATTAAACACCAAATACAAAAATAAATATATTATATTGGGAGGTGACTTCAATATAAACATTTTGAACAAAAATAAACAGACGGAGAATCTTATCAACTTAATGTTTTCAAACAATCTCAAAACAGATTATCAGAGAACCAACACGTGTATCAAAAGGCTCCTCAACCTGCATCGATCTACTCTTCACTAACTACATGCCCATTATTAATAAAGCCAGCGTCCAAGATTATGGTCTCTCTGATCATAAGGGTATTACACTAAAAATAAAATCGAAACACTCTTATCCTAATAATAACACAACCGGGTACTTACAGAAAAGACTTTTCTCAGAAAGGAACATATTACATTTTAACACTTCATTAAATGACATAAAATGGCACGAAATAATCAACACACAACAATTTAAGCACCAATTACGATTTATTTCTCAATATATTGACTAAATTACTTAATACACATATACCGATAAAAAAGCTGAAAATAAATAATAAACCAAAAAAAGAATGGCTCACTACCGGCCTTAGGAAATCATGTGCACACAAAAGAAATTAAGGGCCATTCTGAATGTGAATGATAATGATATTATACATAAATTTTATAAAAAGTATAGCCAAACCCTAAAGCGTAGTGTAAACATATCAAAAAAACTTGATTTTTATAAACAAATGGAAAACTCCGATAATAAAACAAAAACAATGTGGAATATCATAAATCACAAAACAGGTAAACAAAAAAAAAAGACTTCCTCCACAAAATATATCATTAAAAATTAACAACCACATTGTAACATGTCCAACAACTATTTGCAACAATTTCAGTGAGTATTTTGCTACTGTGGATATGGGCACGAATAACAATAACACCAACAAAAACAGTGAGCTGGGTCGACCCGTCATAAACTCACAAATGTGCTCCATGTACTTGCGTCCTGTAGATAGAAAATAAATAATCGACATAATACGCTCAATTAAAAATACACACAGCTGCGGCATAGATGAAATCCCCCCAATTCTATTGAAACAGTGTGCAGAAAAACTGTCAATACCGCTCACATTTTTAGTTAATCAAAGCCTTCAAGATGGCCAATTTCCAGACCCCCTAAAGATATCAATAATCAAACCGATACACAAAAAAGGCGACACCTACACACCTAGTCATTATAGACCTATTGCTCTGTTACCCACATTTTCGAAAGTATTTGAAAAAACAATGCGTAACAGATTATACGATTTTTTAGAAAAATATAATATTCTCGATGATAGTCAAAATGGATTTAGAAAATCAAGATCAACTACCCTAGCAGTATATAAGTATATCCAGACTACCATAAAACATATAAATGACAAAAAAACATGTACTGGGAGTATTACTTGACATGACGAAAGCCTATGACAAAGTATTGTACGACATTCTTTTGAATAAACTAAACGGTTCTGGTATTCGCTGCCCAGCTTACATATGGTTTCGATCATATTTAGAAAATAGATCACAAATGGTCCAAATTGACCATTTCGACCCCAATACGAATGAGGTTAAAATAGTGCGGTTTGAAAAAAGGAACATAAAGTGTTCAATCCCGCAGGGCAGCGTGTTGGGTTGTGTGCTATTTCTGATATACATCAACGAAGTACTAAACAAGGAACATACATTACCTGTCCTATTTGCTGATGATATATCAATACTAATTACTTATGACACAACCACAAAGCCGACACCACTACTTCAGGAAACTCTAGACACAGTAAATAACTGGCTCAACGACCGTAACTTAGAAATTAACTATAACAAAACAAAAACTATCCAATTTAGAACATACAGAAACACCCCCGTAAACATCGATACAACATACAATGGCACACGACTAGAAACTGTAGATACATTCAAATTATTTGGTATTACTATAGACACACACATCAACTGGAAAGCACACATCGAACATACAAAAAATAAACTGTCTCGATTTACATACGCTCTATTCCAACTTAAATGCAGCACAAACGAAAAAACCGCACTGTCAGCATACTACGCATACGCATACTCCTGGTTACGATACGGCATTATGTTGTGGGGAAACACTGTACACTTTCAAGATTTATTTATATTACAAAAAAAATGTATTAGAATTATCGGACAAATTGGAAATCGTGATAGTTGTAGGCCCTTCTTTATTAAATATAACATCCTCACACTACCATCATTATACATATTTGACATCTGCATATTTGTATCCAAGAACACGAGTCACTTCGCGAAAGTAAAAGACAATCACAATTTAAACACACGCCACAGAGACAGACTATACCTACCACCATCAAGAATTAAAATGCTAAGCCAGAGCCCTTACTACATGGCTGTAAAAATATACAACAAATTACCTATCCACATAAAAAATGAAACTAAGACTACACTATTCATTAAAAAACTAAAAGCATTCTTAATTACAAAATGTTTCTATTCTGTTAAAGAATACATTGAGAAAAAAAACACTTAACAAACTACATTTCTTATTACACGGAAAACAGAATACATATACTTAAGTACATCATAAAATGAAAAATCGGTCGTGATGCACGGTAATGCTAGAGACAGTAGGAAAATGTGTATATGTATTGGTGATGTAGAATGTCGGGTGCCTTCGTATTTTTGCATGGTTTGTTCGATTGTTATACTGTACTATTGAGTCACTTAATTTGTATTGTTCAAAAAATGCTTGTACTTGTGTAACAATTTATTCTTCTGCGGTCTCTCTCAAATTTTGCAATGCCTGGAAAAGGCTTCTAAGTTGGGACTACTACATATAATATTATAAGATCATTGATGTACACTTGGTTTGCAAATAAAGATTTGATTTGATTTGATTACCTAAAGTTATACCAAGCGGGGTAGTTTACTAAGCAGTTTATTTTTGAAATTTTCCATACGAGTTACAGTTTTAGGTAACACAGTAATATCTCGTGTTACCACCATTATGTTTTTCATAGCAAAAGCACACATCTGTCCACAGTGATCAGAATGTAGTTCGCTTATTATTCCTTTGGTGTGGCACTATGTCAGTAAATATATTATCTATGCACCTTGCTATGGTGGCTGTAATCCTAGTAGGCTCCAAAAAAATATTATCAAGATTGTATGACCCAAATAGGATTTTAAAATTTTAAACTCAAGGATGTATCTTCCAATATAATATCTTAATGTAAAAACATTAAAATCACCACACACAATTACACTTTTGTTTGAGTTACATACTTTCTGCTAGACTTCGTTCATAATTTTTTCAAAACTAATATTTGATGAGGATGGAGGCCTATATACACTCAATACAATAAGTTGCTCAAACTCCACACATGCTATTTCTATTGTCCGCTCAACAGAGAAGCCTAGTTGGCTGTCGCTGGGGGTACACTACAGATATCAAAGCTTGGCGGGAAAACAGTTAAACTTAAACACTTTACTTAGTACCCAAACATCTATATTACAATTTACTTTTCAATAATCGTAGGACTCGACATAGTAGTGACATCACTATTTAAGAATTGCAAAAAGGCTGCAACGAACGTTATGTCAGTTTAGTCTCTAGGGCCCGTGTTTTAAAAGACGTCTCAAGTATCGATAAAACTCTGATTGCCTGAAACTAGTTTTAAGTGCTGATCAAAACTTAAGTATCGATCCTAATAAAGAAAGCGTTTTAAGTTTTACTCAGTTGAAACTACTTTCAAGTATTAATTTCAACTTACAGTCTGTTCTCAATTACGTTTCCGCATGATCAATATTATTATTCCTTTTTAAGCAGTTTATTATTTAAAAACAGTTTTTTTTCAACATTATTTCTGTTAATTTGTACATAGTATACCAATGTAAACAAGCTTGTTGTTCGTCCAAAATTAAATGAAACTCGAAAATAAACATGTTAAAGAGAAAAAGGGCCATGGTGATTTAAATTAATGGTGATAAAAAATATTAGTTTATTTAGTTTAGTTTGTTTAGTTTAAAAATATAGATTTAGTTCCATTATGCCGTAGTTTAGTTCATCGTCCTTAAAACTTTGAAAAATCTTCTTTTTTGTAACCTTTTGGTGTGTATGTACAGCAGTGGAGAGGTGATCCAACATGTGCTCAAAGTCCTTTTGAAATACGCCGCAGAAACCGCAATGAAACAGAGAATTGATCTGCAAATAATAGTAATACTAATACAGGACTGCGATAGGCTGATGATGATGATGATGATGGACATACGCCTCTCCTTAGAAAGGAGGTTTTGGCCTACTCTACTACATAGATGAACGTTGTTGCATTTATTTTATTATATAAAAATGCATCAAGATTGTTAAAGAGTACCTCCCTATTCATCCTGTGGGTGTCGTAAGAGCCGACTAAGGGAACAAACTGCAGAAGACAACAGCACTGCAAAAAGGAGGGAAAACTTGAAACAAACCCTATACCAACCCGTCTGGCCAGCATGGTATAGTAGGCCAAAACCTCCTTTCTAGGGAGAGGCGGTTAGAGGGGGTTAACTATGTCAGACGAAATACCGTCATCGGGCCGCTGCATCAGACCTCAAAGAGCCTATGAATGATAAAATCTCATCGCAATCAGTTGCCTCCAGGACCCTCGAAGTACGTATTCGTGAAAATTGCGTTAAACTAGTGTTAATGTTATTTGCAAGTTCTTTCTCGACGTTTCTAAAGAATTTTTTAACTTTATTGCATGATGAGAAGGTGAGTGTGAGAGTAATAACAGTTGTGAGGATGAAGGTGTCATTTTAGATGTTTTGGTGTGATTTTTATAGTGTTCCATGGCGCTTTTGTGTTCCTCCCGGCAATCTTTATCTGCTCTGAATCATATTTCCGTTTAGCCTTAATAATTTAGTAGGAGGTGCCACGAATATTCGAAAACCATTCGGTATTCAGCCTATTCGCCCATTTTTTTCACTATTCGGTATGTGGCCGAATATTCTGTAAAATTTTGGTCCAAACACCGAATATTAAATACATATTTTACCAATAACTTATTATATTAATACTTAAAACTGTTTTTAGCATTTGGTTATAGGAATTTGGTGATTCGGAAAATAGCTGCTCACTGTATATATTGCTTCCAGAATATGTTATAGGAGATGATTAATCTGCCGAATATTCGGGCGCTTCGGCCAAGAGACTTGCCGAATATTCGATATTCGCCAAATTTAGTATAAAAAATATATATGCTTTAGTCTATATGTTATAATTAATATCTCATTACTGGGGTAGAGTTTTAACTTTTTACGTATGTCATCCCTATTTCATCTCAGTAAGCCTTTGGAAATCCAAGGCTTGAGAATTCGTTACCTTTAGTGTATTTGTATTATCTGATATAGCCTTTGATACTACATTCAAATGCATATCAGTTGCAATATTGCAATCTGTCATCGGTAAAATAAGCGTAATATCTAAATGATGAATCGTTTTATCGCATTGCCTTTAGACGCAGTGCCTTTAGGTAGTATTTTGATTTTGAGGGTTTATCTGTGTGTCTGTATTAGTCTACTCAAACTTCTTAGAGCGGTTGCTGGCATTTTGTACGTATGAATGTGTGGTCAAGGAAGTTATTACGCCCAGTCGCAAGAAATATGCGAAAAGGCAACCATGGAATGCAAGACAATTGAGATATTTTTGGGCTCGGATATCAAACGCAGATTTTATGTTAATATTCTTATCACCAGTTATAACAACAGAACAGAATGATATGGGGGCCTTACAGAAAACCCCTGGTATGCAATTTTTTCGTTTCCATTTAGTGGTACCGGAGGAACAGCCTCTCCCTTTCCTAACATGCAAGTCTAGAGACCCAAGTGAGTTAGACAGCCGTAGTCACTTCACAATCAGGTAATCTATTTGCATAAAACACACAAACTGTTTTAGAAGGTATAGCAATAGAATTATTATTATTACCTGTCTTACAAATTCCTCTTTCAAAGAAGTAATAACAAAAGCTTTTTGCAATTTAAATTTATGCGATGGAGAAGCAACATGCATTTCTCTGTTCTCTCGGGCTATTTCTATGTCACAAAGTTGACATATTATCTTTCCCATGTCCAACAGACAAAAGAAATGATTAAACTCGACACAAAAACTGTCATTAATTATGACAAATCTGCAATCCAGAATTAAAGTCTGTCTAAAATAATCTTTTGGTAGAACTTTTTCCATCTTCATCGTAATTAGTTCTTTGCCTGCCTGAGCCTGCCGTTTTATGTTATCTGTGTGTTTTTTTCCTGCTATGTGTTTTTTTACTTGGTTCATTGTGCCAGGAACTACTGTACTACATATCTGACAATTTAAACTAAACCTATCTTGGGTTACGAACAAGCCATGTTCTTTTGCATAAGTTTCCAGTTCTTCACTCACAGGAGTTAGTTTCTTTATAGCTTTTCCTTTAGTAACAGGCGGGTTATCTGCAATAAAATGAGTTTTTTAAACACTGTATGTATTGGGGCCTTACTACAAGTGATGTGCCAGATCGTTAAAAATTTATATCCGCAGACGAGGATCCGAATATTGAACACTAAAACTCTCTCGAATAGTTCTTATTGATTATGCCTTACAGTGCATTTTCATTTTCAATGAGATAGCTCTGATGACCTATGAAGTCGTCACAGCCATAAAAATATATTTGTCATTATTGCACCGCCTAACATCGAGCATTGTCATATGTGTAACAAATACAAATAGTCAGTAATCTCCTTTGATAGACCGCTAAATACCTACAAGACTGTCTCGACTAAAAATGTGCAAGGGTTGTCACAAAAACTATCACGATCGTAGGTAGCTAGGCAAAAATAGTATTTAACTATATTTTACCAATATATACACCTGTATCTTGGGTTCCTATTCCGTTTAAAATATTGGACAAAAGGTTGAATAAATTATATAAAACAGGCCAAAATTATACATTGGAGAATATTTTAGTTCATTTCTTTCATTTCGTGATTTCAGTTGGCGAAAATATTGGGAAAAGATTTTGGGTGAAATCGAATTCTTACAACCACGTGATTGCTCCAGCATACCATCACAACATTAATGTAATTATATGTATTGTAATTTGTATAGTTGTGTGTAATATATAATGAAAAGAGTACTATAACTATTTTTGAAATTGTATTTATTATATTATGAAATTATATTTATATTATATTATGTAAATTATAAACCTTCGTGGTTTAGGACATTCTATGTACCTATGTCAAATTTCCCTTGAATATCTTCTCTTCGTGAATATATATAGATATATTAGGGCGCTTTAAAAAAAACATTTTTTTTTGTCTCGGAACCACGCTCAAAAGTTTAGTTTGGACGCCAAAATAGGCTTCTGAAAATATATCCGCATTGCACTTATCGATTTCTCATTACGTTTTTAAAGCATTTATATGACATATATATGTATATATATCGGGACGTCGTAACACATACTGAAATAGTGTATTCAGATTATCATTCTGAGTCGAAAATCATTGGAATTTTCTGCCGAAAAATTATACATTTTATGTAATCAGCTGTCAAAGATTAAGGTAATTCCCCGTAGCCCTCCTCCCCGTCCCCCCGTTTTCGTCGTTTTTTTTCGGTTGTTATATTATTAGTAATCTCAATGTTAGCTTACCTGTCAAAACCTTTGTGTCAACTTTTTTGTTGGATGTCACTTTTGTATCATCTTCATTGGCTTCATTCTCTTCCATCTGTTCCTTTTTCTCTTCATTTCTTTGGTCAATATAGTTATTGTCAGCATTATTTCTAGTGCAGTCTAATGAAACACGAGCAGACTTGTGCTGCTCAGAATCTAAGTGTTTAGAGATCTCTGTGTTAGATACAACTTTGTTACATGTTAAACACTGAAAGCCTCCGTCTACCTGAAATATACATTCGGATTTGAGAGCAATAGGTATGGCATTTGGCAATCCAGTCAATTCAATTCTAATAAAAGAAACGTCAAAACGGTAACTCCTATAAAATACTACTAAATAACTCAAAGGAGGATTCTTCCGACCGGGCGAGGTGATTATGCTAGGTTGAATGCGGTTATCAGTCGCTAAGAAGAAATTGAGTACCGCCCGTCACCACCGGGACTGCAATGAGTACTCGGCTCAGCATACTTTCCCATTTAAAAGCAATAGGTAAGGCATTTGGCTATCACGTCAAATCAGTTCTAATAAAAGAAACGTCAAAATGGTAACTCCTGTAAAATGCTACTGAAGATCTTAAAGGAGGAATCTTCCTTCGAATGCGGATATCAGTTTTTTTTTAGGAATTTGAGTACCACCCGTCACTACTGGGACTACACCGAGGACTCAGATCAGCCGTACTCAGCACACGGCGGTTTGCTCCGCTTAGACGATGTAGAGTCGAGCTCTCACTGCAGTCATAGGATGGCAGGCCTCCTTCCGAGATTGCAGGTGAACGGAGTTTGAAGGCAGACAGAGCCCGGAAGGAAAATCTACACTTGGATCCAATTCGTCACCGACGAACCAGGTGGAGGAGGCGTTCCTTCCAGCGCCTCATGACGCTCTGAGTGCGGCCGCGGTTGGATAGGACGGGTTTTCTCTACCACCAACCACCCACAAAGGCCAGCCGCGAAGAGGCGATCTAAGTGTCTGCCTGGACGTCACCTAAATAGAAAGATTTACCCGAAGGCGGTACCTAAGCGTTGCGTGCGTAATTTAATGTAATATTTGAAATAAAAAGGTGAATTCTTTACTACTACTAATTAGACAAAGATAGGAGAAATTAAATTATTCGTCTCTTTCATTTCGTTAAGTAAATTGCAATCGATATTCAGTAACCTAAGACTCATTTATTTATATCATACACACACTAACATTTTTTTGTAACCAACTTCAAAAAAGGAGGAAATTGTTTCATACAATAGATAAGATAAGACAGATAGAAATTCTCTACGTCATTCATGAAACGATTTTATACTTGAAGTGTATACTTTTTCCTATCATTAAATTTAAATTTGAAGAAAAAATACCACCGTTCACATCACTTATCACATCAACAGCCTTCAATAGTCGACTGCTGGACATAGGACTCCTCTCTTCGGAAAGGTTTTGGCCTTTGGGTTTGGAAAGGAGTTTGTTTCAAGTTTTCCTTCTCTTTGCAGTGGTGATGTCCACCGTTAAGGAAGGAAAATTAAACTCTGCTGAGATCACTGTACGCCAGGTTTTACAATGGTAAGTCCGGGAAATAGTAAAACTATCTTGAAAAAAGTAACCCTCATTTAAGGGTTTGATTAACTATGTTCTTTATAATTAAGAACCACGCTTCGGTGTATTTGGGCCCGGCTCACCGTTCTCAATTTTTTCTTTACTTTTCCAGAGTGAATGAGGTAACTTGCTCCTCCCCCTCCGGTTACCTGCACTTAAAGGTTGGCAACGTACTTAGGACACTAACCATCAGGTGACATGGTCACGGTTACAGTGATGTCCATTTACCCATAGCATTCAAGAATTAAAGATGAACGCCGTGTTCCAATTACTTTGAAGGATAGACTGAAATCACCACTTAAGCCTCATACATACGTAACGATTTATCGTAGCGATTTCAGACTGTGCAGATAAATCGAACGTTCCTAGTGCCTCCACACGCCTCCGATATCGACGTCGATCGGGCAGTTCTCCGCAGAACCTCGCGCAAGATACATGTTAACAATGGAAGATTATGACGCACTTGCTATATTAGGCCTGGTTATGTGTTTAAAGAAAAAAAAAAGAAGCGGAGTCTATGGTGTAAAGACTGGCTCATGAAAAGGAAGCAATTTTCTCATACCAACTTGTTTTGCGAGTTGAAATTCGCTCCGCAAGATTGCCATAACTATTTAAGGATGAATGAAGAGGCATATTTAAATCTGCTCGCTTTAGTGATCTGCACGTGCGCACACTAGCAAGCTCCGTGAAGTACTGCCGAACTGAGCGATCGCCGTCCACACGCAACGATAAAACTGTGCAAATATAATCGACAACGATTTATCTGATAGAAATTGAAACTGCCACCGACGAACGATTATCGACAACGATTTTTCATACACACGATCGATAAAACTGCGCAAACTGGTCTGCACAGATTTATCGCTACGATAAATCGTTACGTATGTATGAGGCTTTACTGTAATACTTGCCTTTCTATAAATATTGTTGTCATCGTCTATGGTGACGGTGCTTCTAACCACATTGAGGGCATGCCTGTGCTCAGACATATGAGTCGAGTGATCATCAATATCAACATTGCAGACAACACAAGAGTCTTCTACGAGGCCGTTCCACGCGCGTTCTTCTATCAGTGTATCCTTTTGAAAAACTACGGAGGTCCCCACACGCGCCAGTTGCCTTCTTATTCCTTTATTATGTGTTTCTTCTGTCACATGTATACCTACTTTGGCAGCTGTGGAAAACGTCTTGTTACACACCTCGCAGAAGTAAACGTCGTTCACCTGCAATTGTCGCATGTTATCAAGAAAGTCAAGAGACAAGATAGCACTCATATAATTATTTGGTCATTATCATTATTAAGGTTGGTTTTTTTAGTTTGAGTTTATTAATAAGCTCAGGAAATATAATAAAAACTCAAAACATCTCACACACGACCGTCTGATTCCAAATTAGGCATTACCTGTGTTACGGTAACCAGACTGCTGATAAACATACCTATACATTTCTAAATATTAACATATTATACTTAGATACATTACACCTAGACACCAACCGATTGATAGTGGTCATTACACAAATATTTGTCCTTGGCTTTCGAACCCACGACCGTTGGCTTAGCAGTCAAAATCGCTATGCAAAAAAACTAACAGGCCAATCAAAGGCCAGTCGAAAATATAATTTTAAAACCTTAGAAAACACTTAGGCAATGAAATAAATTATAAAATTTAGAATACCTACATACCTTTTTTATGAAATCATCTTTATGTTTTTCAAAATAAACAGTCTGTTTCAACTTGGCGGTGTGTTTTGGGTTTCTAGTGTGTTTCAGTACATCTCCTGCTATAGTGATGGAGCAGACAAGACAATACGAGTCAGGGTCTCCCATAAGAATGCAGTTCTTTGAAAATATCGCCAGTATCCTGCAACATGTCAAGCCAAATTAGTTTGTCTAAACATTAAAACATACATTCTGTAGAACTCTTGTATACTTATATGGCATGAACAATTTTTTTAAAACGTCTTATTTTGTTATAGTTAAATTATTAACACGGACAGAGTTAGGCATGGGACTAAATCACAGGGAACTGTGAAAGACCGGTGATTATTCATTTGATTTTTTCGTATGTTGGTAATAAGCTTTAAGTTTCAGACGATGCATAAAGACCCTATTTCGCCTATTCAACAGTAAATCTAGTAATAATGATATTTACTGTTACTTCAACCTATTTAGTTGTACGAGTAGTGTATTTACAACTTTGTTAATAGAGTATGCATTTACACTTATCACAAAAAAGTTTAAAACCAGCAATCTATATCTATACAAATAAATAAAATTGAAGTGTCTGTTTGTAATGTCAAAATAATAGGTTTTTTTCATGCTCAATCGGTTATTTGCACGATACCTATGCCTAAAAACCAGTTTTTTTTGTCTATCTGTCTGTATATTTTACTACCAGTTAGCTGTCTATATAAGGAGTAACTTAGGCTATTTTTATCTTAGAAAAACCTTTAATTTTTTTATCCGGGAATCGAACCAAGTCAGCGCTTTTCAAATTCCACTCAAACGAAGTTGCGGGGTACAAGCTTGTATCTTAGGAAAATATAAAGTAGGTTTGTGTACGCTTCAAAAACTCAAAAAGTCCTGCACCGATTGAGCTCAAATATTGACACGATATTCAACCCGCTTTAAAGATTAGTTTTACTTATATATTGAGTCAGGTTTGTTGTTCATTGAAGCGTGCAAGAATACAGCTAGTTTATTATAAAAACAGACTCGTAAAAGGTATGTAGATAGGTACTTACTTCTCCATGATTTAACAGGATCTGTTTTCACTACTTAACTAACTTGGAGTACACTGTTTTTTTTCTATATTGGTAATCGATCAATTTGATGTAACTTTGCACCTTAGAGAATAGTGATGTTTTAAGAATGACGCTGACTGAGAAACAGCAACCAAGTGGCACGGTACTACGAGAATTCGAGATGATAAGGAGGTAGATAAAAAAAAAGTATATCCCTAACCATAAACAACTATAGAAGTTTCGAGTTTATTTTTCTTAAGAAATGCCGGGTCCTTCTAGCTGTAAAGTACGACTTGTAAAAATATCTGAAAAGATTTACTTACAGAAATAAGTAGAAAGACACACAGACACACTTTCGAATTTATAATATTAGTATGGATATGAAGCTTGCCAGCCATAGAACGACATTACCCAATTATTTCACAGGCGTTTTGGTTTAGTGGTTAATAAAAGTGACCGCCTTGCGTTCGGTTTCCACTCAGGACAAAAAATTGTGTGATGACCACGATAATTTGTATTTAGAAATATTTTAACGTTTCTCAGCAGTTTGGTTGTAATAGCACAGGTTCTGTTTAGTGCCTTGTGTGTGTGAGATGTGTGAAGTTATTATTGTTCTCTTTATTTACATTTAAAAACATATTAATTACATTTTCAAACATATATATTGCACTCATTAAAAAGGTACAAAATTAAAAATAACTAAGTGTAATAAAAAAAATATTTGTAGAATATAAATAATTTATTTATATTTAATATAATTTTTATCATTATTATTTCTACTATTAAATTACAAAAAAAAGTTGTGTGATTGTAATAATTTATGTATAATAATCACAATAATAATATGACAAGGTGTGAGAAGGATGCAGGGACCAACTAATATCACTGGTTTTGACCCCCCTTTTATAGGCAAAATTTTTAGAGGCTTGTGGATTTTTTTTATGGTTTAGTAGTAATAGTCAGATTGTAGAGCACTTAGGAAATGTTGGCAAGGAAGGGGTAAGGAACTTCGTTTGAGAAACGTTGAATCTGGTGGAGAATTCATTGAACTGTTGGCAACACTGGATGCCACTTTTATTTAACATGACATATGACATCGCACGTGTAGTTGTGTACCCAGTGCAATACTAAACTTTTTATTTAAATGTGGTAAATACAGTGTTTCAACTCAACATGAATTCAAAGAAAATAGCTAAAAACCCTTCATTAGCATATACAAGTCATCCAGATTACAGAAAACCGCCTAAAATTGCAAATCCGGTAACTAACCTATTGCATTGTTTTTATTTTGTATTGCGTTTTAAAAGCATAAAAAATATTTATTAAATTTATTTAAGTTAGACTTTTTTGTATTAAAAGTGCTATCCATACTATGTGCACTTAACAAAGTACTATATAACGCGTAATAAAATAACATTAGACGATTATCAGAAGGGAAGAAAATAGATCCCTTTGAAATGGTGCTGGCGCCGCATATTGTGAAGTCCATGGACATGTAAAAGTTCAAACAAGTCCATTTTTGATCAATTCAGAATCACTAAAAGGCTATTCACTACATTACGTGGTAATAGATATGCTTAGGTATTTGAATATACAGCTAGAAACGGTCAAGACATTATGGAAAGGCTGACCCTTGCATGCAGAGAATGCGACTAAGAAGAAAAATGTGTATCATTATAACCTGTTTTTAATTGTTTTTAACTCCGCAAAAGCTATGTTGTGTTATAAGTTTGACGTGTCTGTGTTTGTGTATGTCTGTGTCCGGCATCGTAGCTTGTTTAAAAGGTTAATTAGTTGGGAGTGTTCTTACCTATGTTTGATAAAAATAGGTCCAAGTTGGCTGCTGCCACAAAACAGAAAAAAATCACAACTCTCTCAATATGGGTATTAAATGAAAGAGCTTGATTAGAAAAATACCATACACTATGACAAATTTCAAATCTAAGATGTATGTCAGGGGTTTTTCAATTAACTTACAGATCTCTGTTTGTCTGTCTCTGTCTATCTGCCAGCATGAAAATAAATTTGTTGTAAACCAACTTTATTGTTTCAGTATCTACAATGCTTAGGAGCACCACACATAGATTCATTCAACTACATGCTTCAAGATGGTTTGAAAGCAGCAATCGCAGACCTGATCCCTGCGGAGTTCGAGCTACCTAGTGGTGAAAGAGTTAAAGTCACCATAGATGAGGCTGCTTTTGCTAAACCAGGTGTTCCTATGGAAGCTATAGGTGTTAAGAATCAAACAGTACTGCCAACAGAATGTAGGCAACGTGCTGCAACATATAAAGGTGACTTCAAGATAAGGATGAGTGTAGCAATTGATGAGAAGGTGGTTACCGTTGATCGGTCACTTGGCTCCCTGCCTGTCATGATAAAGGTATGTTGACATTTCTATTTCTCTATGATCATCCAGTACTTTATTAACTAAGATTAAGAAGCGGTACGTTTATGGAATGCCTTGCCGATTTCTATCAGACATGCGCAATCCATAACCAAATTCAATGACAGGACAGAATAACAAAGTGTCATCCTATGTGTGGATTGAACCCACAATACTCAGCGTAGTAGGAAGCATGCAGATATATGTAATATAAATATACATATACATTTGTATATATCTCGATAATAACTTCTTTCTGTAAGTACGTTATGCAATATAAAATAGGTTATGATATACACTGGTCAGCAAATAAACCGAGCCACCCGCTACCTAGGAACTCTGATTCGATTTTCTCAAAAAGTATAAAACTTACAACTTTCAAAGTTATACATACAAAAAGTGCGTTTCATGGTGATTAAAATGACTAAAAATTAATTCGAAAGTACCGTCAACTCACATTGTAATCAAGCAACAAACACAATGCTAACGATTTGCTCTGTTTTCACCAGAGTTTGCAATTAGCGTTCTTTTTCTCTACAATGAGGGTAGTCGGATATTTCTTATCATTTCTTTAGTTTTTGTCCATCGTTTGCTCAGACGCGTGTGTTTTTGCTACTTTTTTCGATTAATAATGGATACAACACCTCAGGAAGCAGCTCAAGCTGTAGCATTACTTCAAGCAGGCATTGCGCAACGTGAAGTCGCTCGAAGGCTTCGAATCAGCAGATCTTCGGTGCAACGAGTTTACAGACGATACCTAGAGACTGGAGCATTCGATCGCCGTCCAGGTACGGGCAGACCTAGGGCTACATCAGCAGCAGATGATCGTTATATCCACCTTACTGTTGTGCGAAATCGCCACCTCAACGCAGTTCAAGTCCAACAAAGTCTGCGTGACGAACGCCAAGTGGTCATAAGTTCAGATACCGTCAGAAGAAGACTTGCTGAACGGAACCTGACCCCAAAAAGAGCTGCAACAGGCCCAGCATTAACGGTAGCACACCGTCGAGCACGACTTGAATTTGCTCGAGAGCATAGGGATTGGACATTAGAGCAGTGGAGTAATGTACTCTTCACTGATGAGACCAGGGTGAGTCTACATGGAAGTGATCGACGTCAGAGAGTATATCGTCGCCCTGGAGAACGTTATTCTCAGTGTTGCATCGAGGAAACTGTTGCTTATGGAGGAGGATCTGTAATGGTCTGGGGCGGCATCTCGTTAACAGCACATACAGCGTTAGTTTTCATCGAACCGACGGGCCGTACACGTGGACTGACTTCTCATCGCTACATTACTGAAATCCTCGCAGACCATGTGGTACCTTACGCAGGATATATCGGACAGGATATGCAATTGATGCATGATAATGCACGGGCTCATGTTGCTCATGTGGTGACCCAGTATCTACGCGACGTCAGCATTCGTACGATGGACTGGCCAGCTCGAAGCCCGGACTTGAATCCGATAGAACACTTATGGGATGAGCTGAAACGTCGGGTTCGAGCCCGGGTACCTGCTCCAACAAGGCTTCCAGAGCTGCGAATCGCAATTGAAGAGGAGTGGAATACAATTCCTCAAGATTTTGTCGTCAGGCTCGTAAGGTCGATGAATACAAGGATGCTGGCAGTTATCCGAGCAAGGGGAGGGAATACGGAATATTGATCAAAAACTTTTTTTTTAATTTTATCTTTGTTTGTTTTGATTTTTGGCTTTAATTTTTTTTTTCACTTTATCATTACTAACGATTGTCACGACTGGAAAACGACTCTTCTTTGTAAAATCCTTAATAAACACTGAAATATTGATTAAAACCAATGAGTTTCCTTTCATTTTAATCACCATGAAACACACTTTCTGTAGGTACAACTTTGTTAATTGTAGGTTTTTTAGTTTTTGAGAAAATCGAATTAGAGTGCCTAGGTAGCGGGTGGCTCGGTTTATTTTCTGTCCAGTGTAGATTCCTATCAGACGTAGTTACACTATGGAAGTATGGCTGAACTCTTTACTGAATACTGCTTTAACTTTTTTGTCAGTCTGGGGTCACTAACTACATTGTTCAAGCAATTAGCAATAGCCGACTGCACGGATGGCGTAGTGGTTTAAGCGGTCGCCACGCCGCTTCTTTCCGAGTGTTGTGGGTTCAAACCCCACATGGGACAACACTTTGTGTGATCCACAAATTGTTGTTCTGAGTCTGGGTGTTTTTTGTGTCCGTTTCATGTATGTTTGTAAAGGATTTAAATTACTGTACAATGACAGATGAATTTCATTGATAGGGTGGTAAATTTTGATGTTCCTTGTAATAAGATAAATGTACCTACCTATCATCAATTGTTAAAACTTGCCACCTTAGGGATGGTAAAATTAAGGCATGAACAGTTTTTCTTATAATTCATGATTTATTTATTTGCTGATCAAAGGTGTACAACGGTGTTACATTTTTATTTACACATGTCCTCTTTGGTCTACCTTAACGGCATGCAAAAATTGGTAAAAAATAGAGCAAACTACACAGGACACAAAGCAAAGGAAAACTTGACACAAACCCTACTAACCTAACCTTCCTTTCTAAGGAGGAACCTATGTCCAGCAGAGGACTAATAAAGGTTTTAATATTGTAATCATATTAATATTGTAGTCTTTAATATTGTAGTCTACACTAGTGGTACACTGAAGATATGTATCTTCAGTGTACCACTAGTGTAGACTAGACAACTTGATGACTTACATAATTTTTCTCCTCATCAGCCTAACGCCGTCCACTGCCAAACGAAGGCCTCCCCAAAGTCCGATAACTATCTTATTTGGGCAGTCTGCATCCATCCGCTGCGAGCTACTTGCTTTAAATCGACGTCTTGCTTTCTTTCTTAATTTCTTGTCTTGTATTGTCTTATATTATAAATGTTTTTTTTTATTTCAGTCTAAAATTTGCCACTTGGCTGATCTATCCCCTGAAGAGTTGGTAGAGCACAATGAACATGCAGATGAATGGGGAGGATATTTCATTGTAAAGGTATTTTAATTAAAAAAAAAACATTTAAAGATATCTTGTGTATTACTAAAACTATGTATAACCCATATACTACACTACTGAAATACACTATATATGATACACTAGTGACCCGTCCCGGCTTCCCACAGGTGCAATGTAGACACTAATGTGGTGTCAGTGTAGTGTAGTTAATTATATTATATTTAGACACTACAGGTTATCTTAAAATACATTATTTATAGATACGCTCCGCAGCTTGAGGGCCACTGGCACCCGGGACTGACGTACGGCCGCTCTGCCCCAGCATTATAAATCTCCAATATCTTCTAAGATATTCATTTTAATAATAGTCTGGAAAGGGCAATACCGATCTACTTTAAAAGCACAACGTATTTAACGTATTTAATTGAATAAGGAATAAAACTGTCGTTTAAAATAGCTTCGCAAATAATCCATTACTTTTTTGTAAAATGTAAAATATAAAAATGGTTACTGTGGGTTATTCTTAAGAGACATGTATTAAATTGGACTATTTTTTTTAGATTTTTTAAGATATACAATTCCGTAGTGGCTAGTATTTGAATAAACTAACACAAACTTTGAATAAAGAACTTATCAAATTTAAAAAGTTCTCATCATCTTCATCATCATCATTTATCATCATTTTCTTGTCCTCTTCCCAATTTAATTTATTTAACGTATTTTCGGTGTATATATGTGTATAATTTTTGTATAATTCTAGGGTCATGAACGCCTAGCCCGTATGCTGTTGGTTACGAGACGGAACTATCCAGTAGCCATCAAGAGGTCAGGATGGAGAATGAGAGGCAACCTGTTCTCAGACTTTGGTGTGATGGTCCGTTGTGTGACATCAGACCAGACAAGCACAGTATGTATATTTAAAACTATTTCATTAAAATAGTTTGATGGTGTTTCTATTATAATAGTATGATATAAGGTTTGCCAGAGAAATCGTATATATAAAATTCTCGTGTCACAATGTTCGTTCCCGTACTCCTCCGAAACGGCTTGACCGATTCTCATGAAATTTTGTGTGCACAACGGGTAGGTCTGAGAATCGGCCAACATCTATTTTTCATACCCCTAAATGGTAAGGGTGACCCATCCCTATTTTTTTTTGTTTTGCAATACAACGTTTGCCGGGTCAGCTAGTAAAATATAATGAAATTTATGACCTTCATCCACTTGCATCTTCAATTCTTTCGTGAGCGTCAGTGATTTCAAACAAAATATATTAAATGATTTTTGTAACATGAAACTTTATCATTATTGATCTATGGTCGACTTTCGAATGCCGTCTTTATAGTATACGGGGCAAACGAGCTACGGGGCCCCTGAAGGTAAGTGACACCTCCACCCATAGACACTTGATTTCTTTGAGTCCCCCCAGAATCAGATGGGAGCGATTTTGGGCTTCGGTTGTTTTCTGTGAGGCCCTGGCAACACCCTGGTTGAGCCTAATGCTTATGCAATCGAATTGTTATTAAATTATTATGCAATTATTGTTCTCAGAATATTCTCTAAATAGGCTAACATAAAACTAGGCTAGGTGCCTAGCATTATGCTGAGCTATGGTCTATATTGGTACATATGTAATTTATACATGTTTCTATTGTAAATATGTAACAATCCTGTAAAATGTGTCAATTAAAGTATTTTTCTTTCTTTCTTATGCTTTTTTACCTGTTTCAGAACAATGTACTCCATTTCCTAAACAATGGGACATGCAAATTGATGTTCTCACATCGCAAAATGATGTACTACGCGCCGTTACTGCTTATTATGAAGTGTCTTGTCGATTGGCCCGATCATTACATATACAGACTCCTTCTACACGGAAAGAAAAATGATCTATACTATGTCAAGTAAGTACCTTATATTAAATACTTTATTGTAGTGAAAACTTCTTTAGGCGCGTTGGGCATTTTTAAACAATCATCATCATCATCAGCCTATTACAGTCCACTGCTGGACATAGGCCTCTCCCATTGCACGCCACTTAGATCGATTTTGTGCTTCTCGCATCCAGCTCCTGCCAGCCATCTTGCGCAAATCGTCACTCCACCTGGCCTGTGGGCGTCCTACACTACGTTTGCCGAGACGCGGTCTTCACTCAATAAACAATAAAATGTATTTTTTTGAGATAGGAAAAAACCATTGAACTCGCGACACTGTTACTATTACCGACACCTCTGTATACAAGTATTTACATATATTGACACCGTTTACACGAAATATACTACGCCCTTTACTATACGCCTGAAAACGTGCATATAAAATTAGCGATGGTCATATTTATATTATAAATGCAAAACTGAGTTTGGTAACACTTTCACGCCTAATACACTAAACCATTAAACCGATTTAAAAAAATATTTTCTAATGGAAAGCTACATTATCAGCGAATAACATAGACATAGATAAACGACAAAGACGCGGGCGGAGCCGCGGGCAAAACTAGTTATAGATGAATTACGCCCAGACATAGACCAAGTGATCGTGCTCATCACACAATTATTTGTCCTGGGTGGGAATCGAACCTATGACCTCTGGTTTTGTAGTCAGGATCACTGACTGGCTAGACCATCAGGCCAGTTAAATTGAGTGATAAGATGTCCATTCTACTCCTCTTGTTGTTCTCTTATTCATTTTTATAAAAAAAAAACTGATTTGGCAACCGTTGTTCGGCAATTTAAAAAAAAAATGTTTGACTTATTCCTATAGGTCGTAAAGTATTTTTCACCCAAACCTATCACCTACCAAATATATGTATAATAAATAATCATTAAAATCGGTAGAGCCGTTTCGGAGGAGTGCGACCACAAACACCGCAATACGAATGTTTATATATTACAAGATAGATATACGCACATATTTCATTCAACAGTTGCATCCAAAACATGCTGCGGGAGCTCCATGAAGAAGGACTCCATTCATCACACGAATGTCGTTCGTACCTGGGCCGGATGTTCAGGCCTAAGTTATACGAACTCCCGCCCTGGGCTACCGACCTGGATGCAGCTGATTTCCTCATCAACCGATGCGTTATGATCCATCTTCCAGACCACAAGGACAAGTTCAATGCTCTTGTCTTCATGGCCCAGAAGCTATACGATTTAGTTCAGAATAAATGCAAGGTAAGATCTTTTTAAGGCATTCATCATCATCATCATCATCAATAGCCTATAACAGTCCTCTGCTGGACATAGGCCTCTCCTTAAAAAGGAGAAGCCTACTATACCACGCTGCCCAGACGGGTTGGTATAGGGTTTGTTTCAAGTTTTCCTTCTCTTTGCAGTGCTGTTGTCCTGCGTAGTTTGCTCTCTTAGTCGGCTCTTACGACATCCACGGGGTGAATAGGGGTGGTGACACTCCGTATTCTTAATCCGTCATCACACGGATAACGGATCCACGCATTAGGGGACTAATAATTTACATAATAGAGGCAAAAGAGGCATAATATAGTAATAATCATAACTTTACACATTTAACATAATGCAGTCTGAGGCCTGAGTGGTATAGTCCATCAACGTCGTGCGCGACCGTCCCGCGGGGTGACAGACAGAGTGGCGGGGACGAGGTACTCAAGATGTCAGCGGGTAGCGGGTGGTGTAGCGGGGAAGGGAATCGTGTGTAGCCGTGTGCTGTCTGTCACTGGGTTATAGTTCATTTTACATCGACTCGCTCTCGACGGCGAGCGAGTTGCGATTGGTGGAGATTTCAGTGCGGGCCAATCGGTCACCGTGAAGATCGAGTAGAAGTGAAATAAACTCGCACTTGGCCCTCTGATCCCAAAAGAGACAGAGCTTGTACTATGGTAACTCGACTGCTGATAAACATCCATAATAATAATATGATGCGGTCTGTCTGTAACCTCTTCACGCTTAAACCGCTGTACCGATGGAGATGAAATTTGGTATAGAGATAGTTTGAGTCCTGGCAAAGGATATAGGATATATATTTTTATCTCAGAAATCATCCTTTAAGTGGGTGGAAGTTCGTATGGGGATTAACCGTTGAACTGATTTAGATGATGTTTGGCATGGCGATAGTTTGATTCTTGATAAAGGATATAGGCGATAATCGACACGCGGGCGGGCGAGTACTTATATATTTCTAATTCAACCTGCCTGGCTAGCGTGGTATAGTAGGCCAAGACAGCCTTTCTAAGGAGAGGGACCAATAAAGGCTGTTGATGATGATGATATTTCGAAATACATACATATTAAAAATTGTCCTCGTGACACAATGATTTGTACTGGATGGGAATCGGACCCAAGACCTCTGGCTCAGCAGTCGGGTTCTGGCAAAAGTCTAGACCAACTGGCCAGCAGTCAGAGTAGGAGTAGTAAAAGACCAGGCCAGGATCGTATACCTGTGACTCAATCTGTCAAGTCAATGTTGTATCTTTCAAGGTGGAAGGTGCTGATGCTGTGATGGTCCAAGAACTGTTGATTGGAGGTCATCTGTATCTCCAAGTGTTGAAGGAACGGCTCCAGCAGCTTATAGTCGTCGTCAGATCACAAGTGCTCAAGAAAGCGAAGACGACCAAAAAACTCGTTATTGGACAGGTAACCCTTTTCTTTTTAACCAACTATATTTTTTTATGTATGTTAGGGGATTACTTCATCATATATAGATGGATTGTCAACATTTTGGGTTTATTCCGAAATAGACCCATTTAATTTGCTTATAGATCTGATGATGAGTTACGGAGACAGACAAAACGGAACTCTTCAAAAAATGACAGCAAGCAATGACTTGTTGCAAGGTTTTTATTAGTGCTATTGTTTGAAGAGACAGTTCTTGATGGAAAGTGACTACCGTGGACGCATGCAAAACAGAAGTGATAAGCACGTTGCACTTTTCTTGAATGTTTAGAGGTCGTATTTGACTGGAAATACCGCAGGTGACAATGTGTGTCTGTGTAGCGCTATTTCTGATTTTTTTAATTTGTCGATGTTTTCAATTTAAACATCGAATTTTATTAAATTCTATTAAGACAAGGTTTATTTTTTATAATGCTTAAATATATTCTATCATAAGGACTGAGTTAATTTTTGACAAAGTTAATATAAATTTCATCAAAGTTTAATCTATCTAATATAACAAAGCATTCGAATCTGTCCATCCATTATCAAACTATAACCACACAGACAGACAAATGTGAAAATAACAACTCACACTAAACCCCAGGTTTTTAACACACGCTCGCCTGTTAGGTATGCTTTTAAAGACCTAGTTTTATGCCTGCCTATTTAGTTTTTCAGGGACTCCCTAATTCAATATATTAATATAAAATACTTTTCACAGCATGAACTGCAGCAGATCCTTAGAAGTTCAGGCAACTTGGAGCAGAAAATGGAGACCTTTTTGGCAACAGGCAACGCGCCTTCCAACAACGTCAACTTGGCTCAGTATAAAGGTCTCACTATTGTAGCTGAAAACATCAACAGGATGAGATATATGTCACATTTCAAGTAAGTTTTAAGAAAAACAATATTTCTGTGTAACGACCTTAATGTTCTCCTCCTTTCTAAGGAGAGACTTATGTCCAGCAGTGGACTGTTATAGGCTGTTGATGATGACTTTAATGTTGACGACTTCTGCTGGCGATAGTCTATTCTACTTGCAAGACAGAAGTCGCGTGTTTGATTCTCTCTCTGTTCAAAAATTAAATTTGCATAGTTCTGAGTGTTTTTATGCATAACTTTAAAATAAAACTGGCAATAACATATAGTTTCAGCTTTATGTTAATGAAACAAGGAAAATAATTCATTCTTTATTTCAAAAGTCCCAATCTGAATTCCCTAAACTTGAAAGTACGTGAACATTTTGGCACACTGCCTGAGTTACCCTAACTTTAAAAGTTTTCGAGCATTTTGTCACATAGTCTGAGTAACCCTAACTTAAAAGTTGCTTGAGCATTTTGCCGCTTATCAAAGTTTCCTTAATTTTAGGAATTCTCGACCACTTTTAAGGTTTTTAAGAGAAAATGTTCGATTACTTTTCAACTAAGTCAGCCTTTTTGCATATCGATTCATATTGCCGTAACTTTAATTGCTCGAGAATAAAACTGTTCAACCTGAGTTGTTAAGAGTTGGATTATGCTTATGTTCTACAGGTCGATTCATCGGGGGTCCTTTTTCATGGAGATGCGAACAACGGAGGCTCGTCAGTTGCTCCCGGACGCGTGGGGGTTCGTGTGCCCCGTGCACACCCCCGACGGGGCTCCCTGCGGACTGCTCAACCATCTCACCTGTAGTGCACAGGTATGACGGCGGTTAACTTGCGACTCCCTGACTTAGACAAATTAGTTTTTGGACAATTCAAGTACTTTTAAAAAAAAGACATCTTCTGTATTAGGATAATATATCTTGTGTCGTGGGGACTTTACAAACATTCATGAAACGGACACAATGTACACCCAGACTCAGAACAACAATTTGTGGATCACACAAAGGGTTGTCCCATGTGGGGATCGGACCCACAACACTCAGCGCAATAAGAAAGCGGCGAGATTACCGCTTAAACTATCTCTGCAGTCTGTTATACAACAGCACTGCAAAGAGAAGGAAAACTTGACACAAACCCTATCCTAACCTACCTGGCCAGCGGTGTATAGTAGGCCAAAACCTCTTTTCTAAAGAGACGCCTTTGTCCAGCAGTGGACTATTAAAGGCTGTTGTTGTGATGTGTGATGATGTGATACATTTGCCCGCAGTTGGATTTTTGTTTTTTCTTGGCAATAATTAGCAAATAATTATTATTCTTTTCGTATTTTAGGTAACACAACATCCAGATCCGAAGCAAGTGGCAAACTTACCCCACGTGCTGGAAAGATGCGGTGAGTTTATATATTATTATGTAATAATATATATATATATATATATATTTACATGTGTAAAAATGTCTTCGGCATTGTATATCCTAAATAGATAGATTGACTAGAATACAGTTATTATAATTTCTTTTAGTATTTTATTAAGTATCTGTTAAAACTTATCTCAACTAATATTAAAAATGCGAATGTGAGTGTTTGTTTGGTACTTTATCACACCATAAACTACTCAACTGATAGCTACGAAAATTTTGCATACATCTTGCCTACTAGAGATGCTTGCATAAGCAATTTCTCCATAAGTACTAAAATACCAAGTATTTTAATATCATAAATACAGATAGAGGCACCTCTGACACACACGTAACTTCATAGAGCTGTAGATCGTGATGCACGGAAATGCTAGGGACAGTAGGAAAATGTGTATATGTATTGGTGATGTAGAATGTCGGGTGCCTTCGTATTTTTGCATGCTTTGTTCGATTGTTATACTGTACTATTGAGTCACTTAATTTGTATTGTTCAAAAAATGCTTGTACTTGTGTAACAATTTATTCTTTTGCGTTCTCTCTCAAATTTTTGCAATGCCTGGAAAAGGCTTCTAAGTTGGGACTACTACATATAATATTATAAGATCATTGATGTACACTTGGTTGGCAAATAAAGATTTGATTTGATTTGATTTGATTAGATGTGGATATATTTTATAGTGATGTGAGTTAATTCAAGGCACCACAACCCAAAGGTAGACTTGGCGAAAATGCCTGCGGCCTAATTCCGCCATTGTACAATTAATTTGTGATTTGTGTATAAAGAATAAAATAAAATATATACTAAAATAAATTCACAAAGATAATACCTTTTAAAGTTTGTTACTTGGTTTAATTAGTTAGTAATGTATAATACTTTAACTGCAATATCGCATTGAATTTAGTCTGTTAAGATGTTATAGGCAAAACTAAATAAATAAATCATGCAGGTATGGAGCCAATAAGCTCGGTGGCCCAGACACCACTGTCGCGAGACGTGTACAAATACCCAGTGCTGGTCGACGGGCGGCTGGTGGGCTACTTCGCCGAGGATACCGTGGACAAGTCAGCTGCCTACCTCAGGACCTTGAAGATCAAAGGCGAAGAGTTACCTATAACGACTGAGATCGTTGTCATACCTAAGAAGCAGGTTAGTCACAGAATTAGAATACATACAGGCGTTCAAGGGCGGCGGTAGTCGCTTTAAATCAGGTGACCCGTCTGCTTGTTTGCCACCTATTCCATGAAAAAAAAATACATATTTATATTGGATACCTGTAACTCTTAGTAGTAGTAGTAGTCACCCCAAACCAAGTGAAAAATATAGCTTAAAGAGGGATGAAATAAACATTTTAGTATTTTTTGTACAGATCTGCTCTCAATACGCGGGCGTATTCTTGATGACGAGTGAAGCGCGCATGATGAGGCCGGTGATCAACTTGTCGACGGGACAACTCGAGCTGATAGGCACCATGGAACAGCTGTACCTTGACATCGCAGTTACCCACAGTGAAATACATAAGGGTAATATAAAAATATCTTTGGACGTATCATCCATCGCTATGTATAGATTCGCATTAAGAAAATAGTGACACATCGATCAAGTCCCGTATCCCGACCAATCAGGAATCGAAAGAAATTTCAAAGCGCGATTAGATTAGTTCTGTTTGTGTTCGCTAGATGGCGTTGAAGTATGTTTTTACTTTATTAGAATGTCGTTAGCAACTTTGGCTGTTGTTCCAAACCCTGTAAGGTAGTTTTCTGATTATTTTTTTATGGTATAGGGTGGCAAACAAACAGACGGATCACCTGATTACCATCAGGACTACCGTCGTCAATTGACATCTGCAACTCAAAACTGACAATTGCGTGACCACCCTTTAAGCCTCCCCCCAGAATCAATGGGAGGGGGGATTTGGACTCCGGTTACCTCACTTACTCAGTGAAATGATAAATGAAGTATTGCGAGAATGACGTTCTGCGTCAAAACCATTAATGATTGTGTTCTATTGCAGGCAAAACCACACACACGGAGTTATCCAAAACAGCGTTCATGAGTAACTTGGCGCAGCTGGTACCAATGCCTGACTGCAACCAGTCGCCTCGGTAAGTTGAATTTGCACCATTAGCTTATCGGTTAGAGGGCTCATACTTAAAAACAGTAGCCAATTCGAGTCACACGTCGAATTATTGCTTTTAGTTCTCAAACCATGTCACAATCATCATCTTTTTGCCCTTGTTCAAAATTTATTTGGTGCTCAAATGGTTTTGGCCTCATTGGCAAAATTTGGGCGTTTCAGATACCACTGCCTACCCTTTAAGGTTAACAGCGTAAGTGTATTTATGTATCTATTGGCCACGCTTTCAAATTATTGCTTAATTACTAATTAATTTCTTTTCCTAAATACCTTATTAGAACTGCAAGCCCCCTTGCACTTTATGTTGAAGATCTGAGAGTCGCTTTTTGACTGAACAACGCTAAGTCCACGAAGTAGAATACATCCAGACACGTTTTGTCAAGTTTCTTAACTTTAAGACGAGAAAGAGTAAAAAAATCGTACATTTATGACTAAATATCATAACATGCTGTCACTTGCTAACAGACATACAATAAATAAAATATTTCACACACATCTCACACACGGCGGTCTGATCCCAAACTAGGCAGAGCCTGTACTATGGTAACCAGACTGCTGATAAGCATACTTATATATTTCTAAATACATACATATTATAGATAAAGTACACCCAGACACAGAACCAATGACCGCGCTCATCACACAATTGTTTGTTCTGGGTGGGAATTGAACCCACAACCTCTCAGGGTCAGTCAGGGTCACTAACCACTAGACCAACAGGCCAGTCAATATTGGACACGTCTTTATTCTACGATATCTTGCGTGATAACATAGATTGTTCACCTTTAGTTTCTCTTTTTTTTTTTAAAAGACAACTCCCGCATTAGGAATATATCCTGTGTCGCGAGGTACTTTATAAACGGACACAAAGAACTTAGAACAACAATTTGTGGATCACACAAAGTGTCGTCCCATGTGGGGATCGGACCCACATCACTCAGCGTAGTGGCAAGCGGCGAGGCAACCGCTTAAACCACTACACCATCCGTGCAGTCAAAAAATTAGTTTCAGTGTCCCCAAACAGCGCACTAGAAAAACTAAATTATTCAATGCCTACTTCATCGTACCAACTACGGTAATTCCATAGGTTGCCTCGTACCTATATTCATCAATTTCATATATCTAGAAACAGCTACCGTGAGAGAATTGTACATAGTCTTTCTGATGGTTAAGTAATCCATGCAGCACATCCTTATGCATGCCAATTAACATCCTTATGCATTAACTTTGAAATATAGTTACCCCAATGTCTGTCGCCATATACCTACTGTATTTACAAATGCACTTCTACTGTTTTAAGATGTCAGGAAACTCTTTTATTGACTTAAGACCTTTTTGTAATATGTAGTACCAGCAAATAAGACGTATGTTCATACTAGTATTTAATCAAGAATACTGCTAGTGGTACCTACGCTCTTATCTATGTCTATGGAAAAATAGCTGTTTCTAAATAAATGAAGTCAGACTTATGTACGCAATGATTTCTTCACCGTAACGAATATACGCTATCCATTTCTTTACAGTAACATGTATCAGTGCCAGATGGGTAAGCAGACGATGGGTACTCCCATCCACACGTGGATGACTAACGCAGAGACCAAGCTGTACCGTCTCCAGAGCCCTGGAACACCACTGTTCCGGCCCACGCATTACGACAATTTGGGACTAGACGACTACCCGTGTGGGACTAACGCCATAGTCGCTGTTATTTCATATACGGTGAGATTTATATTATTTCACCACTGCCTCATATACCATAAACAAAAAATATTTCTTTTTAATTTTATTCCGATTTGTGTTTTGCCTAATGCGTAAACATCGATGTTCTTCTGTTTCAGCTACTTGTTTACGATTTCGCAAAATTTTAATCTATACTAATATTATAAAGCTGAAGAGTTTGTTTGTTTGTTTGTTTGTTTGTTTGTTTGAACGCGCTAATCTCAGGAACTACTGGTCCGATTTGAAAAATTCTTTCAGCGTTAGATAGCCCATTTATCGAGGAAGGCTATAGGCTATATATCATCACGCTAAGAGCAATAGGAGCGGAGCACCAATGAAGAATGTTTCAAAAACGGATAAAATTTATTACTATTGAGAGACGCAGACGAAGTTGCGCGGGTCAGCTAGTATTTTATATATTTACTACCGTAATGACGTCATCACCAATAAGCAACATGGCCGTCTAACATTTTCATTGATTAATTAAATATTTTAATTATCTTTCTGATTGATTTAAGAATAAAAGAAAAATCGAACAAGGTGTTATTATTACTTTGGTGTAATATAATACATCTAAAGAATTTAGTTTTAGATTATTTATTATTAATGTCCTTTGACGACCGGATGGTGTAGTGGTTTATGTAACGGACTGCTATTCCAATGGTCGCGGGTTCAATTCCCGCTCAAGTCAAACATTTGTGTGCATGAACATGTAATGTTTTATTTGGTCTGAATGTTTCTATGTATAATATGCATGTATTTACAAAAAAAAAGTATTTAAGTTTTTATATTACTTGTCTAGTACCCATAGTACAAGCTCTGCTTAGTTTGGGACTAGATGGCGTTGTGTGAATGTGGTACAATATTATTATTATATAAACCAGCTATTATATCTTGCAGGGTTATGATATGGAAGATGCGATGATAATCAATAAGTCTGCGTATGAACGCGGGTTAGGTGCCGGTTCGGTGTATAAATCAAACTTTATAGAGCTGGAACACACAGCCTCCTATTTCTGTAGGGATAACAGCAACGCAGAACTGAGTCAGTTCATTGACGAGGATGGGTTACCGGCCGTTGGTGCCAGGATTAGACCAGAAGATCCCTTTTATTGGTAAGTTTTTTTTTTATTTCATTTAAATAGTTATCTATTAGACTTGTGTTAGTGAGAGTGAAGCTAGTTATATAAAAGTTAAAAAAAAGATATAAATTCGTTTTTTTTTTAATAATTAGCTTATTACATTACAGTTATTATGATGGAGAGAAAAGTCAGTTTGTCGTGTCCAAGTATCACGGTAAGGAGGAGGTTTACGTGGACAGTGTACGCCTTTGTGGGGACTTCAGTACCCGGCCACTGAAAAAGGCTTGCATCATGCTAAGATTGCAGGTAAGAACTGATTGTGGGCAAATTATGGTAGAGGGAAAGAGAAAGAAGGAGTGATAAGGGGATTGAGGGGGGGAGAAAGTGAAGGAAGGGAGAGCGTGAAAAGGTCAGAGAAGAGAGAAAATATTGGCAAGGGGTATGAGTAGGGGCAGAAAGAGAGGTACAGGGAGAAAGAGAGGTGAGAGAGTAAAGGGGGGAGGAAGAGAGAAAAATAGAGAGCAGTGAGAGAGAAAAGAGGGGAGAAGGAAAGAGAGAGAAAGAGGTTGACATAGAGATAGGGAGAGGAGAGAGATTGGAGAGGAAAAATTTAGCAATAAATATATAACTTTATTTCATTTACAGCGAAACCCAACAGTAGGTGACAAGTTCGCTTCTCGGGCTGGTCAGAAAGGTATCTGTTCGCAAAAATGGGCAACTGAAGATCTACCGTTCACAGAGTCTGGTTTGGTTCCTGATATACTGTTCAACCCTCACGGCTTCCCCTCCAGAATGACAATAGCTATGATGATAGAGTGCATGGCGGGCAAGGCAGCAAGCATTCATGGACATGTAAGTTTCTAAACATAATAAATAATATGTATTTGTATGTGTAACTATGTAATATTCATTATTAATATATTTTTTCTAAATCAGTTCAGCAGTTATCGATTCCCCATACAAAGTTCTACCCCCTTTTTACCCCTTTAAAGGATGTTTTTTTTGGGATCAAAAGTACCCTATGTCCTTTCCCAGGACTCGGATGATCTCTGTACCAAATTTCATCTGAATCGGTTCAGCGGTTTAAGCGTGAAGAGGTTACAGACAGACAGACACAATTTCGCATTTATAATATTAGTATGGATATTAGCAGTTTACCTGCTCAAGGTTCTCTATTATCTCCTTTTTAATATAAAAATTCTGAGGAATTTATGTCAATAGTATGGATAGGGGAGTTGTCTTTTAAAAAACAAAAAATTAACACCAGGCTCCAGGCAGTGCCGGAGCATGACTCTCCCACGATAAGTCCTCGTTTATTCATTACGTTATTCTGTTTGTGGTAGGTTCACGACGCCACTCCATTCCGTTTCAACGAGAAGGACACTGCGATTAATTACTTCGGGCGGTTGCTGGAGTCGTCAGGATACAACTACTACGGTACAGAGAGGATGTACAGCGGGATCGATGGACGGGAGATGACTGCCGATATCTTCTTCGGCGTTATCCATTACCAGAGGTTGCGGCACATGGTCTCTGATAAGTGGCAGGTATGTATGGTGGCGAAAAAGATGTTTGTTATTGAGTAGAATAGATTGAAGAAGAAATAGAGATTCACATGTCCGGTTTGATCCACGGAATCTGGTCTCAGGTAATTTGATCAAGTGCCAGGGCTTTAGTAGTATATTGTTAAATCGGAGACACAATTCGGATTTTTAGAGTGGTGTCCATTTATTTATTTATTTATTTAATTCATTAACAATTTATTACAATTGGATGCAGATAAGCAATAATGTGTTAACCCTCATCAACTTTGTGTTGAGAAAATGGCGTCTTAAGATGTTAAATCTATTTATATAAAATTTGCTTCAAGAAATATCCATCCACTGTTCGTTTCTCTGTTTAATAAAAAGAATAATGGGTTAGAAATAGATTGCTATTACAAAAAGACAACAAGCTAGTATATTCTTCCAAATAAATGAGATTACTGCATATTGCAAAATATGGAACACGCTGTAATAATCGAAACATTAAATTAAGGAACATAACACTGTTCTGCAAAATGCCGGTACCAAGTCATTGAATGACAATGAATGCATGTTAAGGAACATAAATGAATATTGATAAACACATGTTTTCACTTATATAGTTCGTCAAATAATTTTAAGTAAAACTCTGAATATATTAATTTAATTAATATAAAAAATACAAGAAACCTAAACTTCATAAACAAGTCATCTATCTAATGTAACAAAAAACAGAATTGAATATACATTTTTCTTCTTCTTTCAAGAAATATATTTTTCTTTTGATCAGAATAATCTTTTTTCAACAAAATAAAATTTTTGATTGACTAATGCCAAGAGTAATTAAAAAAGCCTTTTTACAGACTGCAATATTACACATTCTGTATTTTCTACTAAAAGCTCGCTTAGAATGTATGGAATAGGATCTGTTCTTTTTAACTTCAATAACGGCACCCTGTAATATCGCACATCTAGTTTCATAAGAACCAGAACTCCAGAATTTCTCAAATTCCTTTTTACGCTGATCTATAGATATTTTCTCTGTACACTTCACATTTACAATCGCTACTGTTAAACTCCTTCGCACACACCTTTACTCCTTTCGCATTAAAGTAATCCTGATTGTTATTTGCTTTTTTTTTGTTTTACTGTTGTTCTGGTCGACGAATTTTCTCTTGCGTCCTTTTTTAGGTCTACCATTGTATATTGATGACAGCTTTTCAGAATCATCGTCGTTGATTTCGGGTAGGTAATTAGGGTCTTCAGTGTTGATACAATTCTCATTAACGGAATTTATAACATTAACAGTGGCTTCTACAAGTTCTTCATCAATAGTTGGGCGATAGTGACTTTCTTCAATAGGACTAGAAATATTTTTATTCAGACTCTTATCATCAATTGCGTTTGAACTATTTTCGTAATTTTTATTAGCTAAAATCTCACTTCGTTCATTTTTATCTCCTTCACTAACTACGGAAACTTTTTCTCTGTAAAAATCTGTAACTATATCAGTTTGGACCTTATTATTATTTAGTTCATCGTTTACAAACTGCAGTTTTCTTTCATCAATGGACTGGAATAAAAGGTTGATTGCATCTGATGAGGGTACCATACTAATAGGTCTTTACCTATGAAATTGCCGTTTTGTATGCAATAAGTGAAAGTACTTATTTTTTCAAACTTTTTTATTTCTGTTTTTCGAAGTAATCACCCATGCAATCGACGCATCTTTGCCAACGCATTGGCAGTTTATTGATGCCCTTTTTGTAAAAATCAGCTGGACGGGCGGCAACAAACTCTTCAAAGGCATTTTGTACTGCCTCTCAGGAATTGAACTTTTTACCCACTAAAAAGTTGTCAACATTTTAGAAAAAGATATAGTCGGTAGGTGCAAGGTCTGGCGAGTATGGCGGATGAGGGAGAGCTTCCAACCCCAGCTCTTGCAGCTTGGAGACTCTGTTGCGCAGTATGGGGTCGCGCGTTGTCGTGAAGGAGCAGTGGGGACGACCGATTGACCAAAGCTGGTTGCAGATGTGCAAGCTTCTCCATCATTCTCTCCAGTTCTTCACAGTACACATCTGCATTAATGCCCATGCCGTTTTGTAAAAAGCTGTGGTGAATCACACCCGCACTAGACCACCAAAAAGTGTCCATCACCTTCTTAGGGGTCATTTTTGGTTTAGGCCATTGCTTTGGTGCTGAACCAGGGTCTAACCAACTTGCTGAGCGCTTTCGATTGTCGAACAGAATCCATTTTTCGTCGCACGTAACAAAATTCCTTCATTTCTTTGCCTATTGAGCAGCGCAAGGCAGGTCTCGACGCGTACGTTGCGCTGGCGATCGTTAAGGTCGTGGGGCACCCATCCATCAAGAGTTTTTACCTTGCCAATTTGTCGCAAATGGTTTAATATTGTTTTGGTGCTTACATTAAAAGCTGCTGATAGCTCAGCTGTAGATTGAGTTTTGTCAGCTTCCACAATCGCCTTTAATTCATTATTGTTAACCAAAGTCTCCGGACGACCACGAGCTTAATTTTTCAAGTCAAAATTTCCAGAAAGGAACCGGGAAAACCAATAACGGGTTATGCGTTCGTTTGTACAGTTCTCTCCGTAAACGTTTTTGATGTTACGTGCCGTTTGTGTCGCGTTGGTGCCACGACGGAACTCATATTCCATAATTACACGAATTTTTAAAGTATTCATTATGACGAAAAATGTTCAAATGTAATGAAATACAACGCTAATCAAAAAACAAAAGACTGAGTTTGTAAATAGAATGTCATGGTTTTAAAACAAAATTAATTTGAATTAACAATACAGAGCCATTACAAACTTTTTTTTATTTGAAATGACCAGTACTGAAGAAAGGCAATTTCATAGGTAAAGACCTAATATTAGGGTCAGGTAAAATATTTGTATCTAAATGATCCAGTAATTCAATAATTACTGGTGAATTAATGCTATCCATTGAAAAAATTTCTGGTAATACTTCATACGACGGACTATTACACCTAGTCTTTTGTAATCCGACAGAATTGTGTAAATCTAGATCAGTACTAATATCGAGTGCAGGGGGATCTTGAGGTTTATTTGAGTCAACAGGTCCATCATTTTCATTAAAAACTTCTTTTGTATTAGATTTCACAAGATTGACCAGTAACTTTCCCCTTGATCTTGGCGGTGACATCTCTCTACAACAAAATAGAAATGCACTTTTTTATTTGGGATTATCAGATCTACGAATAAGAACGATTTTTAAATACAATATCAACATACTTAACATATAAGCTATCTCTCTTAAAAAGTTAATCAACATTCAGTAATAATATGTCAAGCACCGTAAACTGTACTATAAGCTATATTAAAAGGTCTTTCATTGTTTAGCAACAATGTGTTATGCTGTATAGTACGACATATGGTTTTGTGTTGTATTTAGCAATAATCAGTTAAGTGAATTACCATTATTATTTGTGACAAAAGTTACAATAAGTCAATCTGATGGGACCAAATTACATTATTTTAGCATAAAAAAGAACTTTGAAGGTGACATATACCTACACAAGTATTTAATTTATTCCTTGTCTAATTCAAACCGGCTATTTAACCTATAAAATAATTACTCATGAAAATCTTAACATAACAGAATAATTACAGACTTACCTTGATGACTCCAACGTGGATTGCTTATAATTCACTAAAACATGGGTTTATTGAATTAATTTAGTACTTAAAATGGGGATATAACTTTGGAATTTATTTTTTTACGAAGAGCTCATTGTTTGGCGCTGCGCGGAAATGCTGAATGACATTTAGCAACAAACTATCAAGCCTCATAACATATTTTTTATGACGACAGATATCGTTTCTTTGAATTTTGATGATGTTAAGGAACTTAAAGGATTATTGACAAATATTGTATACGTGATTTCCGATTTGTTTTATGATATAAATCGATTTTTTTCGTACTTTTATGTTATAGGTGACTTGAAAAACTTTCTTAGAATGTTAAATACTTGATGCACTATAAAAATATATAAAAACCTTGGAATTTTACTTTTTGTGGGTTGACACATTATTGCGTATCACCATCCAATTGTGTCTGAATATAATACTTCATAATAGTGAGAAAAGAAAAGTAACATATAATCTCTAAAAACAATTCACATTAAACCATCTAAAATAAGTTAAAAACATTTCAAATATACATATAACATTCACAACTCCAACCGGTCATATTAACAAAATGAATCACTTGATGTCAAAAATAATAATGTCAAACAAAATAAATTAAATTTCAAACAGGTACTTAATGCAAACTAAATGCCAGTTAGAATTGTCATGTTAAAGGAAACAAGAGATCACACAATAATTATATCCCTAACATGTCCCTAGGATTTTAATGTCAGTTACAAGATGAGCCAGTAAATTCATTTACAGAATAATAACATTTTTCCAATCAGAAGGCTTTAACTCTTTTTTTAAATATGTGTGTCTTATAGATTTCCATTTTTATTTCTGCAGGCCTACCTGTATACCTGTATAGGCCTGTTAAATAGTTTCACACTTTGATAACGCGCACAATGCTTTGCTATATTTAATGTTGGCATCTTGAGTTTCAAAATCAGTAATGTATTTTGACAGTTGGCTTAGTACGGTCAGTATGTATAAACAAGGAACTGTTAGTATGGATAGTTCTTTGAAATGCTCTCTACATGACTCCCACTGCGGCATTCGGACCATAGTTCTAATTGCCCGTTTTTGTATTATGAAGGCCTTTTCACAATTATACTCGTAACTATTACCCCAGAACTGGACACTGTATCTTAACCTTGATTCGACTAGAGCATAATATACAGTCCTTAGTTGACTGATGCTAACTTCTTCTCTTAAACTCCTAAGGGCATAGCAAGAGGATGATATTGTTTCCTCAATTGCATCTAGTTCTCTTTGCCAATTCAGCAACGAGTCTATATGTACGCCTAAGAATTTGACTGTGTTTACATTGTCAATTTTGTCTCCCATAAATTGTACAGCCAAGCTATCTGTATTACGGGCAGTAGACTTGAACAAAATAATGTTTGTTTTTGTAGTATTCATAACTAACCTATTTGCTGCAAACCATCTGTGGAATTCATACAAGACATTGTTAACTTTATGATTTAGTAATTCTAAATCACTTGCACTTATTATTGCATTAGTGTCATCGGCAAACACAACTAGCTGAGGATTTGAATTTAAGCTCTGTGCGAAATTTATGAGATCATTTACAAATACTAAGAACAGAATTGTGGAGTGGAGACCGCGTCTCGGTAAACGTAGTGTAGGACGCCCACAGGCCAGGTGGAGTGACGATTTGCGCAAGATGGCTGGCAGGAGCTGGATGCGAGAAGCCCAAAATCGATCTAAGTGGCGTGCAATGGGAGAGGCCTATGTCCAGCAGTGGACTGCGATAGGCTGATGATGATGATGAAGAACAGAATGGGACCCAAAATAGAACCCTGCGGTACGCCTGTTGTTACATGGTGTATTTTTGATTTGTAAGCTTTATAGTGATTCTTATTATCAACTGCATTGATTTCCACAAACATTTGCCTATTATGTAGGTATGATTTGAAGAGGTCCAAAACTTTGCCTCTCACACCGTAGTGTTCCAGTTTTATCAGGAGAAGTTCATGATCAACAGTATCAAAAGCAGAACTAAGGTCCAAAAAAATACCAGCTACTCTCATTTTTTCATTAATCTTTTCTACAATGTCGCCTACCAATGTATATAATGCATCAGCCGTACCAACACCTTTCTGGTATCCAAATTGCCTCTTATTTATCACTTGGTTTGTAATTAAGTGACTCACCAGACGTGACTTTAAAAGCTTTTCGAATATTTTTGATAGTACTGACAGGACCGATATTGGTCTGTAGTTCTTCGGATCAGTAGACGAGCCCTTTTTGTGTATCGGAAACACCTTAGCAATTTTTAACTGTTCGGGAAAAATATTTTGTTCGCAACATTTATTAAAAATATATGAAAGGGGGGTCGCTAAAATTACTATGTGTGTTTTTATTATTGATATCTGTACTTCATCGCACCCACTAGAAGTTTTAGTTGGCATTTTTCTAACTATGTCACTAACTTCATTGGGTGTAATCTTGGATAAAACCATATCTTTCATCACCCTTTTGCAGCTATCTTGTAAGAATTGAACTGATTTGTCGGTTTTACTATGACACGAAGGCTGTTTAGCATTGAATTGCTGAGCTAACATATTTGCAACGAGGGCGGGGTCATCAATTTTCTTATTGTCATGTTGAATTTCAATATTTTTAACTGTTCCATAATTAGTTTTACTTCTATGCCGATTTACTAACTGCCAGATTTTTTTTGTTATATTTCGGCTTTGAAGTGCTGGTTATGTTAAAATAGAATACTTTTTTTGTTTAAAGTCCCGTTTACAGATTGGATACTTGCGTTATGTCTTACCGAAGCTCATTTGATCCATGCATCCTTGCATTTTCTTTACCATAGTTTATCTGGTTTATGTGGTTTGTCGTCAATTTTCAACCAGGTTCATGTTATGCGGTCGGTCATAAAAGAATCTAGACAAAACTTTTTGCAATATTACACATTTCGTCCATTCTTATGTTGTTTCCGCACTCAGAGTCGATTAACGCATTGAGAAGAACAATCCTTGGGGATCGAAATAAAAATACTAATTCGACTTAACAGAGAGGAGACACGTGTATTAATCTGACTTATCGGTTTAGTGGTCCTGATTGTTGAAAATTGAATCGTTAATCTGCTAGCAATAGTAATACTTCACTGTTTTACTACGAAATAATCTTTTATGATAGTTGTGAGATCGAAAGTCGATCGAAACTGAATCGTGACTGAACTTTTATTACGAGAATTGGTATTCAGTTTACCAGTTTGTTAGTTCTTTTACTGATGTACATGAGTTACATTGGTGAGCGTGTTAGAGAAACAAAGCAAAAGTAGAGTGGGTCCTGTGTTTGCGTGAGGTGAGAGGTATGTGTGGTGCAGGTGCGCACGACGGGCGCGGTGGACGCGCTGACGCGCCAGCCCGTGAAGGGGCGGCGGCGCGGCGGCGGCGTGCGGCTCGGCGAGATGGAGCGCGACGCGCTCGCCTCGCACGGCGCCGCCTTCCTGCTGCACGACAGGCTCTTCCACTGCTCCGACAAGACCGAGGTACCACTTAACTTTACGATCCTAATTTTTCGCATCGTCCATCTATCGCATGTCGCATTACAGCCGACCGCGGAATAGGGGTCAAGTGAAAGGCTAACCGATTCGGAAAAAGTTTCACTTGCGTCGTAGTTTCATAAAACCACACCACACTTTTTTTAAACACAAATTTATGTAATAACAATATTAACCAACGAAGACGTGATTGAACTGATAACTAATTATGTAATAATTATATTAATGTAATCGTGAAGTCAAATTCTTGTCTTAGAACAAATACGTTGATTTTGTTTGTTCTATTGTCCACATTTTGAAAGTAGTTATGACAAATAGAAAATAACGATATTCAATCTAAAAAGGTTCAACACTATATCACATTCCTTTCACATCACATCACTATAACAGTCCACTGCTGGACGTAGGCCACATTCCTTTACATTATAAGTACAGTCGGCTGCAGAAATGCATGGACATTACCGTAAAGAAAATAGACAAAACCGATAATCAATGCCATGTTCATCTTTAAGATTTCATTTATTAATTAATCACGTTGTACTGATTTATAATTTCTTTTAGAAATTTTGCATATCTACTTAATTCACTTATATAATTATAATAATAAAAAAATACAACCTTTTATGGCCCTTTCCTTTTCAAAAATAAGTATTAGAACCAATTTATATTGAGAACACTATTAAAATGTAAAAAATTAACCTTATCCCGTCATAATTGATTTGAAAATCGTATGTAAGTAATCCCATGATTAACACCAATTAGTTATTTTGACTATTAAAAAAAAACGATTAACTATTCTTCTTTTTCGCAGGCGACTTTATGTTCAAAATGTGGAACTCTTCTGGGCCCAATCATTGGCAGGAGCGAGACGAGCAAAGAAACTTGTCGCCTCTGCGGGGAGGGCAACCTGGTCTCTGTGGCGATACCTTATATCTTCAAATTCTTTGTGACCCAACTCGCCTGTGTCAACATCAATGTAAAAATCAATTGTAGTCAGAGCTTGGCTTTGACGGCTGGAAACTAGATTGTAATTATAAATTATGTAATATAAACTTTTTAGTGTTTTATTTTAAAATAAAGACAAACCTTAACATTAAAAATATGAAGGGTATGGCAACGACATTCCAAGGTTTGCCCGCCGAATTGCCAAACTTGGCAAAAGTGGCAGCGGGCGGGGCACATTGCTCGTAGAAAAGACGGCCGATGGGGCCAAAAATTTCTGGAGCGACGACGACGTACCGGAAGAAGGAGTGTGGTTCGGCCCCCTATAAGGTGGTCCGACGACCTGGACCACGTTGGATGCGAGTAGCACACCAATGGTGGTTGTGGCGAACCTTAGGGCAATCCTATGTCCAGCAGTCAACATCTATCGGCTGAGATGATGATGATCAGTAGTGTCAAGTGCGTTGCTGGGCTTTGAGGTGCGTCTGTTCTTGAAAGTAGGACTTCCACGTACAATGAGACGAAAACATACTTCAGTGCCTCCATATTGCGCATCAATTAAAAGACTGCTTCTTTGAAAAATTACTGTCGTATGTATAGTCTGAGGAGCCATAGGGTAACTTTTTTAATTTTAAAATTACCGAGCTCAGATTTTGTCTACTAACTAATCTCAAATACTACAAAATCATTATGTTCCTAGTTCTGACGTGGCTCCTCATTCCAGACATTTAGATTGAGGAGCCACCTTCATGTTCATATAATTTAAATTATTCTACTACAAAATAGAGGATCGAGGCTACCATTTTTTTAAATTTACTACTAAATAAAAATATTAATTTCATTAAGATATGAGAAGTGGCTCCTCAATCTAAACGGACACATTTTTTTCTCAGTGTTGTGGGTTGAAACCCCACATGGGACGACACTTTGTGTGATCCACAAATTGTTGTTCTGAGTCTGGGTGTTCTTTGTGTCCGTTTCATGTATGTTTGTAAAGTCCCCCGTGACACTGGATATATACCTAATGCGGGAGTTGTCTTTTTTAGAGAGAGAGAGAATTCAGATGTCCGGCACATCAGTTTCAATTTTAAAACTTAAAATGTTTTCTCCTCCTTTATTCTCTACATTTATCAACCCGATAACTCATTACCTCCAGTGTGCGTATTACCTATGCCGATGATCTGCAGCTGTATTCACAGGCAAGGGTTGAGGACATAACACGAGCCATCGGTAACATCAACAAGGACCTTGACTCATAATCATAAAATCCTGGTCGACGATATTCGAATTGTCAGTGAACCCCACCAAATGTCAGGCAATCATAGTAGGCAGCAAAATTATGATAAGCAGACTAGATTAGAATTTGACTGCACGGATGGCGCATTGGTTTAAGCGGTCGCCACGCCGCTTCCTACTGCGCCGAGTGTTGTGGGTTCAAACCCCACATGGGACTACACTTTGTGTGATCCACAAACTGTTGTTCTGAGTGTGGGTGTTCTTTGTGTCCGTTTCATGTGTGTTTGTAAAATCTCCCGCGACACAGGAATGTATTCCTAATGCGGGAGTTGTCTTAATAAAAAAGAAAGAAAGAGAAAAGATACAGCCCGGTAGTCAAAGACCTAGGCCTGCTCATCGACTCAACCCTTGATTGGCGTGCTCACGTTACTAATGTAAGTCAGAAAGTAACCGGAAACCTTCGAACGTTATACCGTCCTAAGAATTTCCTGCCTCCTAAAACACAGTCCCTTATTATCCCTATAATTGATTATGGCGATTTGTGTTCAATCTTCGAAAGTATAATCATAGTTTTGAAGATTGAAACGTTCCCAATTACAATGGTTGCCTATTCGCCTGCGCCGTAATCAGCGAGCGCTGACCTCTCTCTCTTCTTTCCTTAACTCCCCATTTTCACCCACTTACCTTGATCCCTATCTGCGTTTCCTGTCCACTAATCACCACAGAAATCTTCGCTCAACAAATCATTTGCTTCTCCTGTGTCCCTCCCACAATTCTGCTCTTTAATGCGTTCCCACTTGGAATCAGGATTTCCACAAACCGTTTCACATTGAAAAAGTATGTACCTACATAGCTACCTTCTTCAGTTGGCGGAATTACCTACTCGATAGTACAACTCCCTATTTACAGTGTACGAATATAAAGTATATGTATTTATGTGTATTTATGTATATTTATGTATGTATATGTGTGTATGTATATGTTAGTTGAAACTATATATATGCTACTATTACAACTGTAACCTCAGTGCACCTACCTCACCAGATTTCTACACCACCCAAAGGTTGGCTGGTAGAGAATGCCCTGGGCATTAAATCCGCCGATGTACACAAGTGCATAAAGTAGTAAAATAAATACAACATTATACATAAATACAACATGTTATGACGTATATTTTTGTAGTATTACCTATCGTTAGAAAATGTACATATCACACAATTTTTATAGTTTTAAAATGATTTACTGAGACAATACAACATAAGAACATATGAACAATAAATAAAATGTTACTTACATTTTATTTATTGTTCATATGTTCATAAATAAAATGTGACATACACAGTATAACTGTATGTCATAAAAATCCCAACGTATGAGTAAATTCCTAGACTCTGAACTTTCCTGTACACCTGTTTTATAATCAGAACTACATACGTCATCAGACAGAACACGCTGACTATAAAACACATCACTAGCGCCTAGCCATTCAGTATGCGTAAATTCGTATACCTTATTAACAATTAACAACACTACGAAAGCAGAAACGGTCTATGAGATTAAAAGAAACCGGTCCCATAATAGTACCCTACGCAATCTGTTCCAGTGTAAAATCTATAAACGACTTATGTGCACAGTACCTATCATTTAAATAATTCGGACAGTGTGACAGTATTCTGAAAACACGCGGTGGGAACGCTTCGCCCGCCCGAGATAGATCGCGGAGCGCGCCAAAACCACGTTTGACATTACATAATAAAAATAAAATAATTAAATTTGACTTTGAATTCAGTGGCAGTGTTGTGTTAAGTTTTTTATTTGACAATTTAATTTTATTTTTGGTAAGTTTTTCTTTAAAAATATGTTTTTTTTAAATTTTGTTTTGCGTATTATGGGTAATTAATATCCATATCGAAAAAAATATGAGACTTTTTTAACATTATGAGGTAAATGTGATAGCTATATAGATGATAATTAAGTAGTAAGTTAATATAATAATTATGTAGTATATTTATCTAACATAGATTATTATGATCGATGATAAAAATCGCCTTGATTAATTTATTTATTGTCACGTTTTGATGGCAGCACATATAAAACCTAAATGCATGTGATAATAATTTACTATTAAAATGCAATAAATTTTTATTACAATTTTTTTTTCAAAAATACGGTTCTAGGAACAATATTTTTTTTTGTTGTTGTTGTGATTATTTTTTATGTTATAGTGTATGACTAAAATATAAATCTGTGAAAATACCTTTAATGACAGTTTTGAGATCGAAAGTTGATCGGAACTGAATTGTGACCTTACAGAAAACCAGTGTAAAAGCACTTCTACGTTCTTCTTTACCGAGTGATTGAGGTTACCGGAGCCCAAACCCTCCTCCACCTATTTTCAAAGGGAGGGGGGAGGGGAGAACTCAAAGGGCGGTAACGCACTTGTAACTCTTGAATTGCAGGCGTCCAAGGACGGTGGTGATCACTTACCATCAGGTGACCAGTCTGCTCGTTTGCCCTTCTACACCATAAAAAATAACATATCAACAAAAATCATTAAAGGAAGTACGATATTAACTATTTGTTGTTATCTTACTAGACTAGGGCTGCCACAATTGCTCGTATGGCACTTTTGCACTTGTTACTAAATAAGTTAGGAAGTTTTAAGTTTTATTTTTAACTAAATAAAATAGTTAAAAAATAACGATTAAATAAAAAAAAATCTTTAAGACTGTAATGAAATCAACGAAAACACATTCATTCATTCCACATGGGCATTGTGACCTGGGACCATAATTGAGAGTCCTGTCATAACAAATCAACCCTTTCTATCTAGAACAACACGTGCCGTCGCATACCATTCAGGCATGTACATACACCTAGTTACCAAACCGTGACAAATGGCATGTGACCGAGACATCGGGATATAACGCTTCAAACTGGGACATGTCCCGGTGTAGCGGGACGTATAGCAGCCCTATAGCCCTATAGACATACCCCACATTGTTGCCCCCATGGGACTCAATTTATATACCAAACGCTTTATCGAGTGTTTCCGGCCTAAAGAAGATAAATTAGTAGTCGCTATTCAGATCAAAATAGAAACACTATACACTAGTATCAAGGTATTTTATAACATTATTTTTATTATTATGTTTAAAACTTTAACTAAAAAAAAGTACTTCAAACTTTTTAAAGAATAATTTACTTTTTAAAAAGTAGGTACTTCTACTCTACAGCTGAAATGAGGAACTTCTCCCTTTGCCGAAGTCGTTTAAAAAAAAAAGAAAAAAGTTTGAATATATTGTGATCGTGAAGATGACGGGACGCGGGAAATTTTAAATGACGTCACTAAATAGCACAAAATGCTCAAGATCCGAGACGTGGTTCTGCCATCTTGACATCACGATGGTGCAACAGGAATTCCCAATGTTATACGTATGGATTGAGTAGTGGAAACTTTAGCTGGAGCGGGTCAGGGTCGCTGACCTGGGGGTCAATTAACGTAATGAAATTCGTTAAAAATCAGTATCGATCTACTCTCGAACTCACAAATGACGTAAAAGGTACTTTGATCGTAAAGTAAGTAAGTACTAGTAAGATTAGCGGAATACCGATTCAAATTTCGGTCACAATATGATAAAATCACATTCAACGTTGTTTGTTTAATACTTTACTACGTGAATGCCTTTTATGACATTTGTGAGATCGAGAGTAGATCTTGTCTGAGATAACTTGACGGGCCTGTTGGTCTAGTGGTTAGTGGCCCTGACTGCTAAGCCGGAGGTCGTGGGTTTGATTTCCCACCCAGGACAAATATTGTGTGATTAGATTTGTTCTGTGTCTGGG